GCTGTGGGGAAAGAGGAACTCTCCGCAGTTTTCATAGAAATGTCGACTGGTGCAACCACTGTGGAAATCAATGTGGAGGCTCCTCAAAAATCTGAGATTGGAGATCCATTTGATCCACGTATTTGCACTTCAGGGCATATTCCCAGAAGAACTGAAAGCATCATATCACAGTGATACATGTGCATGCATGTTTATAGCAGCACAATTTGTAATAGCTAAATATTGGAAACAACCCACATGCTCATCAACTGAGGAATGAATAAATAGACGTGATATTTTTATGCAATGAAGTACTACTCAGCTACAAAGAATGACCACATTGAGATTTTTATAAACAAATTGATGCAATTTGAGACCATACTCATAAGCAAAACAAATCAAACTCACATGTGTAAATACTGTATTGTTACTCTAGTGTAAGAAATGGTAAGTGTACATAGAATACAAAATCCTCAATAAATACTGTGAAGAGATACAAACCTTGTCAAAATGGAAAGAAAATAATATCTCAGGGAAAAGGTGGAAAAAGAAAAAAAAGAGAAAAGAAAAAAATCTAAATTTATATAAATAAACATGATAGTTAAGATGATGGTGCTATAAATTCCATAAGTTCTTGGAACAAAAAAATACAAAACTGAGTATACTACTCAGCTAAAGATGACACTTAGCCTTTGGTATGTAAATGGATGCTACTTGAGACCATACTTGTAAGTGAAATAAATCCAGCTCACATGTGTAAATACAGTATTGTCTCCCTAATGTAATAAAGTGAAAGAGTAAATAAGATAGAAAATCTTCAGTGAATATTGTGAAAGGGTAAGAAGCTGCTCAAAGTGGCAAAAATAACACAGACAGGGAAAAGGAGAAAAGAAACAAGAGAAATGAAATAAGATATAAATTTGTATATATATACACTTAAGATTACCAAGAATGTTGTACTACTAATTCTGTTAGTTCTTTGAACAAAACAGAATAACATCCATAAGATTAGATCAATTTTGCATGACTATATCTGATAATTAAATAAGACTTATGAAGAAAATTAGGCAAAACAACATAAATTGTTATTTTTCTACCACCTTGTTTTGAAAGCCTACATTGTTATTGTTTTGGGCTCTTAGATATAGATATTTATTTGTTGTGTTCTTTTTCCCTCTAATATAAAAAGGATAGTTATACATATATAGGCTTATATATGCCTAGAACTTCACCTAAAGGTTTTATAAGATTTGATTTTATGTGTGGTAGTATGAAAAACTACAAACGAAAATGAAAAACAATGAAAATGAGCCACCATGGTAGCCACTGATGATTTTTTATCACTTTGATTTGAATGTCAATAATGCTTTTATTCTTGATTTTGATTGGTCTTAGTCTGTTTTCAATTATTTGATTTAATATGTTTGAACACATGTACAGCTAGCTTGAAGAAAAAAAGTCACATTATGGTAGCCATTATTGATTTCCTAGTGTCTGTTTTGAAAGTCATTAAGGCTCTCAATCTTGTGTTTTGATTGTTTTTATACTATTTTGGTGTATATAGACTTATTGTGTGTGAAGGAATGGACAACTGTTTTGAAGAAAACAAGACATTATATAGACACTGTTAATTTCCTGCTGTCATTTTCTGAAATTCTTTGTTCTGTGCTTTCTTTTGGTGTGGTTTGGTTTTATCCTCTTTAAAATAATTTTTAAAAAGGAAATGAGAGTCGCTTGCAGGTCCTGAATTATGAAAATGTTTCCACTGAACATAGCCTGCCACTGTTAGTTTGTAGCCCAGGTTGTTCATGTTGCTAAAGATTCCATGTAAGATAAATGATATCTGTTACACTATCTGTATCAAAATATATGATAACAATATTTACTAGGAATGTGTATTCTCTGTGGATGATAAATCCCTGTACTTGACAAACATGTCCTGATATAATTTGAGATAATTTTATCATTGTTTACTAATACAATTTAGATATGCACAATGATCACTGTCTTAGCTACGTTTCTCATTACTGAGACAAAATTCAAGACATCCAAATTTAAAAGGGGAAATGTGTATTACCTCACAATTTGTAGAGGTTTCAGTCCATAATTGACTGTATATAAGGCAAGCTGGTACATGGCAGAGGGTCAACTGTTCATGGCAGTGAACTATAACAAAAGCAACAGGAGAAAGGTGCAGTACCAAAGCCTCTTTAAATGTCTCGTATAGTATCATGTCTACTTTGATTAGGGCCATGTTAACCCAGTCAGTGGAGTTATCTAGCAAACTTTTTGAGTTAAATGTGTTTATTGAGGCAGCATATTGTTGGGTATCTTCAGCCAATGTTTTTATTTTGACTGGTGAATTGAGATCATTTACATTGATGGTTAAAGCTGATATCTGTTGACCAATTCTTTTCATTTTATTTTCTTGTTCATTTTTTTTCTTTCCCCTCATTTTAATATTTTTTCTCTGCTTGGTGGATTTTTTTTATTTTTCTGTTCTTGGAATTCTCATTATCTCTCTCTAAAACATCATTCAGAATTTTTGGAGAGCTGGTTTGGGGGTCATGAAATTCTTGAGTTGTTTTTTATTGTGGAAACATCTTACTTCTCCAGTGATTTTGAAAGAGAATTTTGCACAGTATATAAATCTGATTGAAGGCTGTTTTCCTTCTGAATGTAAAATACTTCACTGCAAGTGCTCTTGACTTAAGAGTTTGTGTTAAGAAGTCTGCCTTGATTGTGAAGGGTTTCATATATGTATGATTTGCTTCTTTTCTTTGACAGTTTTCTTTGTTTTTTTTTTTATCGGTACTGCAGATGGAACTCACGACCACATGCTTGCAAGGCAAGCGCTTATGCCGCTGAGCTAAATCCCCAGCACCCCAGCCCCTCTTTGACAGGTTTTAATACTCTATAATTGTGCTGAATTTCTGGAATCCAGATTAGTATATGCCTTGGTGTAATTTTATAATGGTAACAGCTAATTGGAGTTCCATATGCAACAGTTATTTGGATTTCAATGATTCAGAAATTTTCTGCCATTGCTTGTGTGAATAATGTTTTGTTTTGTTTGTTTTCTTTGGCTTTTATGTGTGGCATTCATGTTGTCTCAAACTTTCTTATTAACTTCAGTTGAACTTTTACTTCTTTGCAAGATCTTATAGCAGTTTATTTTTCCTGATCCCTTAGTGTTTTTAAGATATATTTCTTTCATAGTCACTAGCTGCAATCCTGCCTTCTGAATCTGACATTCTGTCCTCACCTTTATTCAGTCTGTTCTGTATACAGTCAATGGAATTTCCAATCTCCTTTGAAAGTGTCTCACAGATTCCAATTCTTTTCTAGTTGGACATTTATGTTTTCATATTTTCCTAAGCTCTTCTGTTTTCCTATGTCTAGTCTAGATTCATTGAGAAAATACATTGTTTTGATTGCCATTCCTTTTTTTATCTGAGAGATAAATTTCTCTATAGCCTCATTCATCTGGTTCTTTTTTTGTTACTTCTGTATCTGTTATTCCAGAAAATATAGGTTGTTGACTTTTGATTTCCTCTACCTCATTTTCCCCTGGACTTGTCATTTGTGGGTTGGAATTCTGGCTTGTATTTGGCTCATGCATCTTGTAATTTTCTATTCTGTTTATTTTAACTTGTTTTCTGGGTTGATACTTGTATATTACTTTATGGTAAATAGCTTTATGATTAGTATTGAGGCTTTCCTAGGCAATGACTATTCCTCAAAGATGTCTTGCCAGTATTTGATTCATGTTCTTTGTCTCTGCATGAAGATACCATCTTCCCAATTTAATGTGGAAGAGAAATTGCTTTTTCCAATGTGGAGCCCAGTCCTTTGATAGTAGACTATTGTGATGGATATGACCCCAGACAATCAGTATTATCATAGAATGATTACATCAATTGTGACATTCCTGATGAAGTACTGTAATTGACAATAGTGACAAACACATCTTAGAAACTGACGAACTTTGACAAGTATTGAGTGGAGCAAAGTAACTTGTTGAAATTTTTCACTGTTTCCAGTGTTATATGTGGGTTTTTGTATAGATGCTCTGATAACAAGTCATCTTTAGATTTTCCAACTAGTGGTGTCTCCTTTGGTCCATTAAATTTACATCCAAATGTGATATGTTAATAATCAATTGTTTTCCCAGAGTGAGCTAGTTAGCCTCCTACATTAGTAGGGCAGTGGCAGCAATTGTCTTGAATAATGGAGACCATCCTTGGAACACAGAGTCCAGTGTTTTTGAAAAGTAGGGCACCACGTAATGGCAGGATTCCATGGCATGTGTTAAGAACCCTATGGCCATATCCTTACATTCCTAGACATGTGGGAAAAAGGCTTAGGTATTTCTGAGTCCTAAGGGTGGAGCCCAAGTCAGGGATTCTGTGATTTGCTTAAATGTTTTTTGTTGATTAGCTTTCCTGAGGCTGGGCTCTCCCTTTTGTAGCTTCATATAAGGGCTTAACAATAAATGATAAATTTGGGATGCAGATTTGACAGAATCCCATTGCCCCCAAGTACTCTCTTGTCTGGTACCAAGTAGTTAGAATTGGAAGAGGGCCATGGACAGACTATTTCCATTTAGTGCTCTGTTAATGTTCCCCTTGTGTTACTATGAAATCTACATACGTAGCCTTTAGTTGGCACATTTCTGTCTTTTCTTGGACACCATATTTCTAGCCCTTTGAAGTAAATGATGGAGGTCTGTATTTCCTGATAAGTCCTCAAGGGTTACAGCTGCCAGAAGAATGTCATACATACTGCAGTTTATAGTCCATGTCCAGATGTTGCCCTATAAGGTATACACTTGGCAATTCTTTGTTAGGCAGAAGAATCTGGCCTAATTTTGGCCTATTTGACTATAATACAAATACCAGAAGAGCTCCTTATTACTATTACTGCTCCCAAGGACAGATTACACCTTTTTATCTTATGAAAAGTGATGGAAAGCAAAAGGGAAGGAGGTGATTCCATCTGGAACATGAGTGTTTTGATGGTTATGGGTTTTACAAAAATCTTTATTGGTGTTGAAAATTGGAAAAAACATTTATCCAGGATTCATATGTGTTGACAAGAACTACGGTTCTGTTTTTAGATCTTGTGGAACGTGATTCTTGGCATATTTATCTGGTTTTATTTCTCTTCCTCTGCCTTCTCCCCTTTCTAAAAAAAAAAAAATCAAACACACAACAAAAGGAGAATGGAAATGTTATTATTAAGTGCTGTGAGAAAAACTGAAACCCAAATTGCTGAGCTGTCTGCACCTGACTCACCACCTGTGTGGGAGCCAGCTCTGTTCCTTCTGACAAGCCCCTCCTCCTGCAGGGGAGAACTTCCAAATGTTAATTTTTTTTCTTTTTGAAAATATAGTTACTATCTTGTACAGAAATCTACAAATTTAAAAATACAGGATTAAATTCCTAGAATCAACAAAAAACAAGACATAAGGAAAATAGTAAAAGAAACATGAGGTCTGGGCATTTAGCTCAGTGGTGTAAGCACCTGCCTGGCAGGTGCAAGGTCGTGAGTTTGATCCCTGGTACCAATAAATAAATGAATAAATAAATAGAAATATGAATCTATGTAAAGGAATTATGAAGCCCCCAAATGAACATATGGGAAGATATACATTTTTCTTATTCAAAAAGTGTCTTTATAAAGCCAGGCATGGTGGTGGACACTTGTAAACACAGCACTTGGGAGGCTGAGGCAGAAGGATCACTTTAAGTTCAAGGCCAGTCTGAACTACACAGTGAGACTCTGTCTCAAAAAATATTATATAAATAAATATATTTAAGAGATAATTGATCACTTAAGGCAAAAATAATAATAAGGTGGGCATGATGGTGCACACCTGTAATTCTAGCACTTGTGATGCTGAGACAGGAGGATCATGAATTCGAGGCCAGCATGGGCCAGTGAGTTTAAGGCTAGCCTGACCTATGTAATAAGACCCTGTCTGTTTTAGTCAGCTTTCCTGTTATGGGGCCACAATACCTGGCAGCCCCAATTTAAAGGAGGAGAAGTTTAATTTGGCTTACAGTCAGAGTATTCAGTTCATGCTTCATGGTCTCCAAGGCAGAAATATGGTAGAGGAAAGCTGCTCACCTCATGGCAGCCAGGAAGCAGAGGGAGAAAGGAGGAGCTGGGAAGAGAGATACGTTCTCAAAAGGCAAGCCACCATGACATGCCTCTTCCAACATCTAACAGCACATTTTAGCTGTGAACTCATCAATGAATCAATGCAGTAATGAATATAATGCCCTCAGTATCCCAATCGCTTTCTAACTTTGCCCCCAACATGAGACTTTTGGGGGCCGTTCTAGATCTAAACTATAACACTGCCTTAAAAACTAAAAAGGTATTTTGGGGCTTATTACTTATGTAAAACGTAAAAGTAAAGGCAACAAATAGCACAAAGGGTGAGGACAAAAATAGAATGCAGTCTTTTACAATATACCTGAAATGGTATAATAGTACTGTTTGAAAGGAGGCTGTGATGAATTAAGGAGATATTTAATAAACCCTACAGAGAAGTTGGCAAATTTTTTCCATTAACTACTCTAACATCAGAGCACCAAAATGTACAAAATAACAAGACTAAAATAAAGAAATGCAATCATAATAGTTGGAAGTGTCAATACTCCACTCTAATTGGTAAAACAAGGCAAAAGGTCAACAAGGGAATCTCCAAACAAGCTCTCAAATGCATGGGGGACATTCTCTGGGATAGAATAGCTTTGTGCTAGGCCATAGAACAAACTTCAATAAGTGTAAAGGATAGAAAAAACACAAAGCATTTTTTCTGGCTGTTATCAACTGTGCCTCCCCCTCAAAGAAAATTGTATATATGAGGGAGAAGGGAACATCTCTTTGTCTTCACTTCTGACTTCTGGACTGTATGTTTAACTACAGAAAACCACTATTTTACTCCTAAATACTTCCACATCTATCTCCTAAGAATAGAGACATCTTAAGCACACTAAAATGATCAAATTCAGGAAATGTTACATTGATGAAATAGTTTTACAACTTTATATAAGCCATACTCAAATTTCTTGAGTTGTCTTGATAATGCACTTTACCATTGCTTCTCCAATTCAGGAGCAAATATTGTAGTTATGTTTAGTTTTTATTTTATTATTATTATTATTTTGTACTAAGGAATCAAACTCAGGACCTCACACTTGCCAGGCAGACATGGCATCACTGAACTAAATCCCCAATCCAGTTATGTTTCTTTTAAGCCAGTTTTGAAACTTGGTTTTAACCATTTTGTTCTATTTCATTAGATCCCTATTGCTATGTCTATGAAGCTTCTTAAATTCAGCCATATAAATTAGTTAAGGCAGCACAAACATAGGGACCATTGCATGTAAAGTATGTTAATCAGCTTTTCATTCCTGTGACCAAATACTTCCGAAAAACAACTTGATGGAGGAAAGGTTTATTTTGACTCACAGTTGTGGTACATGATTGGGTCCTCCAGGGCAAAAGACATGACAGAAGGGGACAGCAGAGTGAGGATACTCACCTCATGGCAGCCAGGAAGCAGGGAGGACAAGGAAGGCCCAGAGAGAAGAAAGAGCTGGGGACAGGCTCTGACCATTAAAGGCTCACTGCAGAGACCTACTTCCTTCCCCTAGGCTCTCCACCTAACATCCCTTAGGGCCATGAAGTTATGGGTGCATTAACCCATTGAAGAAGTTAGTTTCCTCATGATCCAACTACCTCTCTAAGCTCTGCCTCTGAATATTGCTGCATTTGGGATGAGGCCCCTCAGCATATAACACTTTAGGACACACTTCATATTCAAACCATCTCAGAGGTCTGTGCTCTAAAGGGTCACTCTCCCTTGCCCCAAACTTCTGGCCAGTGGGAGAGGCAGTGGTGTTGCTGGATTTGCTTTTGCCTACACTAAAATAAGACCTGTGACCTAGGTAGGGGCTCAAGTTACCAGCAGAATGAAATTAGCCGTGACAGCTTCTGCTCCTTGGGAAACAAGTGAATATGGAATAAGAAATGCAGCATTGAGCTGGGGATATAGCTCAGCACCACAACACCTGCCTGGCAAGTGTAAGGTCAATTCCTGGTACAAAAAAAATCAAAAACAACAGCATGAAGCCAGAATGGTGACGGAATCTGTTTTCCTGGCTACTAGAGAGGCTGAGGCAGAAGGATCACAAGTTGAAAGCAGGCATGGGCAACTTGGTGAGACCCTGTCTCAACATAAAACAAGAAATAAAAAAGGCTTGGAATGTAGCTCCACACTCAATCTCCAATACTGGGGTGGGTTGGGGGAGCAGAAAAAAGCACAGCATGAATGAAAAGATGTTCCATGTGAAAATCTGTCTGATGCTATTTTGAGTGGACTGAGGACTGTGTGTGGATGTCCTTGGAACCTGTTTGGTTGCCAGGGGGACTTTTTCTTGTGGATTATCACAGGAGCACATGACAGATGGCTCATGCCAGGCTGGCTGTGGCCCTGTGCCTGGACTGCTGATGTCGTGGGTTGGATGAGACACCACCCAGAGAGGCCAATCTGCCAACTTTATTTAGTTCCATGATGCACGGACGTCCTTCTGATCTTGGCACAGCTTTCTTTCTCACACTGTGCAGATTTATATTTTTAGGCTCATCTTGCAGTGCCCAGCTCCCACTTGCACAGTGTTCTCGAAATTCTGCAGCAGCAGTTGTGGGCTGCCTGCCTGCCTCCTCCACAGCGTCGGGAGGGGAGAAAGCTGTCTGCCTCCTCAGGACGCACACTTTCTGCAGCACGATCATACTCTGAGCATGGGAGCTGGCCCTTATGCTGCCCTACAGTGTGACCTTAAAGACAATGACTCTCAGGCATCAAATGGGTATCATAGCTGCCCTGCCTTCTCCCCACTCATCCACTCACTTATTTCTTTTTTTTTTTTTTTCCGGTACCGGGGATCGAACTCATCACCGCCTGCTTGCAAGGCAGGTGCTTATGCCGCTGAGCTAAATCCCCAGCCCAACTCACTTATTTCTTAGCAAGGATCAGCAAACACTAGGTGTTAGGTGGTGGGGCTATGAAGATAAATAAATATTACCCCTCAACCTCAGAGAGGTACTTTATCAGTTCACAGACTATCAGACTGGGACTATCCCACCCAAATGTTAATCTCACGGATAAAGAAAGTAAAGTTCAACAAAGTCCAGATGTCACATCCAGCCAGGACAGTGACCCAGAGTGCTTATTTCACAACTCAGAGATCTTTCTTCTGCATCACTTACTTCTGACTAAATTATATTAAGTCTCTATCTCCCAAATTAGATTTAACAACTTAAAAAACCCCATTCTGGGGCCAGGGGTTGAGCTCAGCGGCATAAGCGCCTGCCTGGCAAGCAGGAGGTCATGAGTTCAAACCTTACTATCAAAATAATTAAATAAAAATAAACCCCAGACTGGCAATGCCTAAACCCTTCAAATAGGAAAATAGTCAAGTGAAACTTCTTTAGTAAACAGAAGTGAGACTTTGAGATATATATACCTCAATGATAGAGCACATGCTTAACATGTGCAAAGCCCAGGGTTCAATCCCCAACACTTCCTCAAAAATAAATACATAAATAACAAAAACTCCAAATTGCTATTTTGCTGTCGTTGTTGGAACTGGGATTCTAACCCAGAGACACTCTGCCACCGAACCGTAATCCTTAGCTATTTTAAATTATTTTCATTCTGTTTGTTTGTGACAGGGTCTTTGTATGTAGTTTAGGCTGGCCTTGAACTCACTATGTGGCTCAGGCTGGCCTCAAATTTGCTGTGATCCTCCTGCCTCTCCCTTCCAAGTGCTGAGCTTACAGGCATGCACCACCACTCCTGTCAAAATTCTTTTCATTCCAAGCCAGGAACAGTGGTGCATGCCTGTAGTCTCAGCACTCAGAAGACTGAGGCAGGAGACTGCTGTGAGTTCAAAGCCAGCCTATGCTGTATAGTAAGTTCAAGGCCAGTCTTAACTACACAGTGTGAACCTGCCTCAGAAAACCAAAAATAATATATAAAATTTTTTCATTGTGAGACAGGGATTTTAATTATTTCATATTTAGTTTGCCTTGACTGGCTTTGGACTTGCAGTCCTCTTGTCTTGGCCTACTGAGTGCTGGGATTGCAGGCGTGCCTCACTGTGCTCAGTCCAAACTACTTTTAATCACAAAATGATCTGCTTATTATATAGAATTGCAACAATTCAAAAAGTAAGTACAATTTTAAAGTCAAAGATTATGAAATAATGAAAACCCTGACTTCTGTGACATGGGTGGATTTAGCTAGTCTTAGATCTTAATGTTAAGCGGACTCATGCAGCATTTCGATTTTGCTGCTTTCACCTACATGAGACAAAGACATTGTCCCTACAGTGTTACATGCAGCAGACTTTTTTTTTATTCACTTAATAAAAGGAGAATTTTTTATTTATTCATTTATTTATTTTTGGTACTGGGGATCAAACTCATGACCTTGCACTTACTTGCCAGGCAGGCGCTTGTGCTGCTGAGCTATGTCCTCAGCCCATAAAAAGAGATCCTTGTGTAGTGAAAGCTGGAAAAGTATTGAACTCCCCAGAAGACATTTGACAGTTTCTGGAGACATTTTTCATTGTCACAAGTAGGGGGATGTTACTGGCATCTAGAGAGCAGAGGACAGGGGTGCTGCTGAGTACCTTTCTGTGTACAGGTGACCTCCCACACAAGAAAGAGAGACTGATCCAAAATAGCAATGATGCCCTACTTTAGCATATTCCATTTTTTAAAAAAATCTGTTCTTCTGCTCCATTTTAAAGTTATTACAAATAAAGTTGCTGTATAAGTATGTGTATATAACTTACACATGTCCTCAATATAGTTTAAATCATCTCTAGATGATGCATAATATTCAACATAATGTAAACGCTATGTAAATTGTCATTATATTATATCATTCAAGGAAAAACATGTTAGTGTTAATACAAATGCAATATTTTCAGGCCATTACTGGTTCAATCTACAGAATCAGGACCAGGGGATATGGAGGACCAACTGTACACTCTCATACAAGTCTTTCACTACACATATATATGCATTTAGGACTAGAATTGTTGGAATGCTCAAATTTAGGCCAGGTGTGGTGATGATCCCTGTAATCACAGCATTCGGGAGGCTGAGGCAGAAAGAGTGTCATGAGTTCAAGGCCATCTGGGGCTACTTAGTGAGTTTAAGGTCAGCCTGAATTATAGAACGAGACCCTGTCTCAAAAAAAAAAAAAAAAAAAGAAAGAAAAGAAAAGCAAATTCCACCAGAATGTTTCCCAAAATGATTGAGTTAATCTATACCTTCACCAGATGTGTGTACTTCACTTGCTCCACATCCTCATGAATCCTTGTTACTATCATTTAAATTTTTAAAACCAGGCACCCAAATCTCAGCTACTTGGGAGGCTGAGGCAGGAGAGTTGTAAGTTCAGCCTCAGCCTGAGTAATTTAGAAAGGCTCTAACTCAGAAAAAAAAAAAATGACTAGAGATATAACTCCATGTGATGGCCCTTGTAATACACACACACAGATGTACATACATATTTTGAGACAAGGTCTTGCTAAATTGTCCAGGATGGCCACGAACTCACAGTTCTCCTGCTTCAGCCTTCCAAGTAGCTGGGGTTAGTGCACTACCACACCAGGCTAGGCTTTTAAAAAATAAATAGTAAATGGTGAGTATTTTAAGGTGCTTTCTTTAGCATTTGTGAAGTGTCTATGAAGAGGAAGAGAAGTAAGAGAAAAGTCGGTAGGGTTGTGGGTGCTCCCTTTGAGGGAGCAGTTCACTCAGCAAACATGTTTGAACACCAAGCACTGCTAAGCACTAGATAAAACACTGACTAAACAGGTGGCCTGCTGCCCTCCCGAAATTCACAGCCATACTGATCCATGTCGAATAAACGTTAGATTGTTGCTGGGGCAGTAGGGATTGAACCCACGGCCATGCTACAACTGAGCTGCATCCCAGCACTATTTTTACATATATATATATATATATATATATATATATATATATATATAAAATGTATTTAAATATATACTTAAACTTAGTTATATATATTTTGAGACAGGGTCTTGCTATATTGTCCAGAGTGGTTTCAAAGTTAGGATCCTCTTGCTTCAGCTGTCAGAGTAGCTAGTCTTACATGGGTGCACCATTGCATCTGGCTGAAGTCTGGTATTTATGCCAGCAGAAACGGAATATCTGGTCTGTCATCCTCGGTCCTGTGTAACTCAGCAACTAACCCCAACCCCAAGTCTCTCAAATCACTTGCCAGAATGTTTTAGACGCCAGCACCAACATACATAATTGCAGCCACCAGAGGGCAGTCATATCTTTGAAATACTTTCAAAGGGGAAAGAAAAAAGGACAAACTCAGTCCTTAGACCACAGTCCAGAGGGTCTGGTGAGACTCACCCAAATTCTCTCTGTCTCTCTGTCTCTGTCTCTCTCTGTCTCTCTGTCTCTCTCTGTCTCCGTCTCTCTGTCTCTCTGTCTCTGTCTCTCTCTGTGTCTCTGTTTCTGTCTCTCTGTCTCTCTCTGTGTCTCTCTCTGTCTCTGTCTCTCTGTCTCTCTCTCTGTCTCTCTCTGTCTCTCTCTCTGTCTCTCTCTGTCTCTCTGTCTCTCTCTGTGTTCTCAGTCTCTCTCTCTGTCTCTCTGTCTCTCTCTCTCAGAAAAGGTCTCGCTACGCAATTCAGGCTGGCCTTGAACTAACAGCAATCCTCTTATCTCAGCCTCCTGAGTGCTGGGATTACAAGCATGCACCACCACACTTGGCTCAAACTGTTATAGGCAGCTGAGCTAGTTAGAAATATTACAGGCAGTCAGACAGGGCTAGGCCCTCGAAGGAGCCAGCACAGAGGACCAGATGTCTGGTGACCTTGGAGGAGACAGA